TTATACTAATAATATATATATATATATATATATATATATATATATATTGACGCTGTTATAAAGAATATTTTTAATTTATCGACATGTTCTAATGTCTTATATAAATTCCATTTCTCGAGACATGACATTTTACGTTATACGTCTAAACAGGCAAGAGAAAACAAAAAACAAATGCATATTTCTAACGCTCTTATTTCTTCAATGCTTTAACGTGAAGGAGGAGAGCAAAAGACATCCCACAAAAAAGGGGAAAAAAAAGAGGAGGATTCTGAGAGGCAGTTCCCGTGATCTTCCCGCCTTTTCCTTCAAATACTTCGATCGAAGGCACTGCGAGAAGAACCAAAATCCGAACACAAACCGGCTCAGATCGAGATTTCGGGTTCGGATTCTGGATTTAGTTTGGGATTCAAGTTACCGAGACGTCGGAGATCGATCCAATCGATTATTCGATCGAAGACGACGGCAGCGATGGCGGCGATGATGCTGTGTCTGCGGCGGGGGATCGGAGGAGATGAGGCGGAGGAGAGAAACGGGGGCGTATCGTCGTCGTCGTCGAGGGGAGGGAGTAGATTCAGCTTGATCGATAGGATCCGGTGGCTCGATTTGTCCGATCGCCGGAAAATCGACCCCGACGCTCCTTCCGGTGGATTCTTCATCGATCCGAATACCAGGTTCTACCTCTCTCTTTCTCTCTCATGTGTTTTGAAATTCAAAATCTGCAGAGATTTTGTTATTTACTGTTTATATATATATATATATTTTTTCTCTTTTTCTACGTTTGGAGAATGAATTTCTGAAATCCAATTAGAAACACACTGTGTTCTACAGACCACTGAAATACTTTAATCCGTTGTGTGATTTATTTATGGTAATTGTCATCTTTCTCTTTCTAGAAAGTGAATTTCCATTTTACGACATTTATTCCAAATTATATGGAAAACTATAGTTACATATATATATTACTGATCGATTTAATAACAATGGTTCTTACATTGATTAATCTTAATTGTTTTTTAGATTTAAATTTAGTATTAATTTATCTGTTTATCACCAATAAAACCATGTTAATACAATTTATTTTTATTCAGGTATTATATATATATATATATGATTTAATACAACCCATCGAAATATAATGCTATTTCAAAATACTACGCGAAAAATATAAGTCATTTCTTTTGTTTCGGTAAATGTTTTAAGATTTAACGGGTGAAACGACAGTGCAAAACGTCTCTCTCGTCTCGAATTTAAAGTTTAAATTTGAAAAAATAGTATATTTAAATTTGAAAAAATAGTATATATTCCAAATCATAGTTAGTCCGAGTTTTAGACCAGAATATCCTGTTACCAACAAAACATTGAGATGAAAATTTCACACACAAAAAAAAAACATTTAGAAGCAAATTAGGTGAAAGCAGATGTGAATTATTTGAAAATGAAATAGAATGACAAATGGGCATCATCACATCGTCATCTTCTACTGAGATTTTTTTTGTTTTGTTTTGTGTAATTAAAATTTTCCCGAATCTTTGACCGATTTAGTAATTCTTATTATTTGCAATTTTAAAAATCGACAAAATCAGTGAGCTTGAGCCTTGAGATATTAATATTAGATTTGTTTAGTTCTACCAAAATCAAAATAAGTAGTATTTTCAATTTTGATGGGCTATCCATTCCGTATATAGCAATGTAGCATGTTGCCCTGAAAGTATGCCGCAACCAGCGGCAACACGTGGACTCCTCGTATAGTTGGATTAAAAAATTATATCATATCATATAATAAAAGAAATCAGAAATATATTATATCTAAAAGCAGATCTATAATAAACATCAAATATATATATATTTTTATAAGGAATATTTTTAATTTTTATAATTTTTAAGGTGATACTCCTCTTTTTATTACTAGAGTAAGATATTTTGCTAAAGATATCCAGTGTACAAATAGTTAAAGGACATTGCTCCGACCCTAAAAAAATGGACATATTCGTTAAAAATTATATACATCCATACAAATCAACACATGCGCGCGCAATCGCAATGCAATGATACGAATGATTATTGCTGGAAACTTTGGGATTTGAGAGCAGGTCTTACAAGACATGGGTGATGTTCATATTGGTCTGGGCACTCTACTCCTCTGTGTTCACTCCAATGGAGTTCGGCTTCTTCCGTGGCCTACCCGAGAATCTCTTCATCCTCGACATTGTCGGGCAGATCGCTTTCTTAATCGACATCGTCCTTCAATTCTTCGTCGCCTTTAGAGACAGCCAGACTTACCGCATGGTCTCCAGGCCAGCCCCCATCGCCATCCGGTCAGCCCTCTTCAGCGTTTGCGTTCGTCGATGTTTCTTGCGATACAAGAAACCGGCGTCGGATGAATGTTTTGTAGATTCTAAGCTTTGCTTTTGATTCGCAGGTACTTGAAGTCGGACTTTATCGTGGACTTGCTCAGTTGCTTGCCTTGGGATCTCATTTTCAAGGTACTAATGCTGATACTTATGGGAGTTTTTTCATGAATCTGATCAACAAAATCAATATAAATGTGTAACAGAAAGTCGGTATATTTTTTCGTTTCTATTACGAGACAATAAATATATTCAAAGGAGAATATATTTATTGTTTAGAATTCTGTTTTATGGTTTTCTGTAACTTCTTCTCTCCCCCTCTCTATTTCTCTCTCCTTTCGTATTGTATATAAAGAATTGTACAGTCAATTGATCAATACAATTTTTCTGGGTAAATTCTCAAATTCTCTGTTTCATAAAATGGTATCAGAGCAATCACATTAAGGTTCCAGGATCTTTTCCTCTGAGTTTTTTTTTTCCAGAACTTGTTCTTTCCTCTTTCTTCTCTGAGGATTCATGGATCCTTTGCCACATCCACCTTTTCCGGTTGGTGATTCTTCTCCGCCGATGTCTTCTTCTACCCCAGTCTCTGTTCAGACTGCGTCTTCTTTCGATTGTTTCGATAATCCTTATTTTTTGAGCTCTGGAGATCATGCTGGTCTTCAGCTTGTTCAGAAACGTCTCACTGGCGCTGGTGATTATGGCTCCTGGCACCGGGCTGTCACCATGGCTCTCGAAGGCCGAAACAAACTCTGTTTCGTTGATGGTTCGTTACCTCGTCCTGGTGATGATGACCCCACACTTCGTTTCTGGAAGCGCAACAACGCTATCGTTGGCTCTTGGCTCATCAACTCCGTCGATGAGGATATTTCCCAAAATCTGATGTTTTATCCCACCGCTCGTGAAATGTGGCTTGATCTTGCTCATCGTTTTCAGCAATCCAATGCTCCCCGTAAGTATCGCGTTCGACAACGTCTTCGCAGTCTTCGCCAAGGTACGCTGGATATAGCCAAATACTATACTGCTCTTTCCACTATCTGGGAAGAAATGAAGACCGTCCGCGTCTATCACAGATGTACTTGTGGTCGATGCACCTGTCATGTTGATCAGCGCTGGGTTGATGAATTTGAAAGTGATTTCGTTATTGATTTCCTTTATGGATTGAATGATGAGTATGAAGGTGTCCGCAATCAAATCACTATGATGGATCCTATGCCCGATATTCAGCGGGTCTATAACTTGGTTATCCAGCAAGAACAACAACGTCTGGTTAAATCCTCTATTCCGTCTGATGCGGTCGTCTTCCAAACTTCTATTTCTCCGTCGGATGCGAAGGTCGCTGTTGTTGCTGGTCGTTCCAGACAGCGTCCCTTATGCTCCCATTGTGGTTTGTATGGCCATACCGTTCAGAAGTGCTACAAGCTACACGGTTATCCTCCTGGATATCGCACTTCGTCTCAGCCTAAAGCCCAACCGAAGGCCCCACCTCGTAGTGACCCTCCTGCTGCTGAAAATTATGCAAATATGGTTAAGGACACTGGTTTAGTTCCTTCTCCTGCTGTCTCTGACCTGGGTAATTTCTCTATTGCTCAGCTACAGGATTTATGTTCTAAGCTCAGCACTCAGCTCAAGACATCTGGACCTACCATTACTGATTCAGGAGCTCCGGATAATACTGGTACCTCTGGTACACCTCTTATCCTTTCCTCCTTTATATGCTCCTCTGTTTCTGATGGTTTGTTGCGGACTGCTTCTTCTTCTTGGGTTATTGATTCTGGTGCCTCGGCTCATGTTTGCTTTGACAAGAGTCTGTTTCGCAATATTGCTCAGGTTACACCTCGGTCTGTAACATTGCCGAATGGTCATCATCTTTTAGTTCATTATATGGGCTCTGTTTCTCTGAATGATCATCTTCTCCTTCGTGATGTCTTTTATATCCCCTCTTTTTCCTTTAACATTGTGAGTGTGAGTGCTTTGCTTCGTGATACTGATCTTCTTGTCCTTTTTTCTTCTGATTTTTGCCTCATTCAGGAGCCTATTCAGGGCTCGACGATTGGGAAGGCTGATCTTAAACACAACCTATACTTTCTCGAGTCCAGCTCCTCCTCCTCACACTCACCACCTTCTTTTCCAGTTCAGGCTTTCCATGCTGACTCTGCACTTTGGCATAGTCGGCTTGGCCATCCTTCCATCCAGAAGCTTCGCTCGTTATCTTCTGTTCTTCCTGTCAAGAATTTTTCTGTTCTTTCCCATTGTCGAGTTTGTCATTTCGCTAAACAACGGCGTTTGCCATTTGTTTCTCATCATCATTTAGCTCCCTCTTCTTTTGATCTCGTTCATATCGACACATGGGGTCCCTTTTCTTCCATTTCATATGATGGTTTTAGCTATTTTCTTACCATTGTTGATGATCATTCCCGAGTTACATGGGTTTATATGATGAAATCTAAAAGTGATGTTATTCGACTTATTCCTGAGTTTGTTACCCTCATTGAAACTCAGTATGGATCGACTATTAAGGCCGTGCGTTCGGATAATGCCAATGAGCTCAAGTTTTCTGACTATTTTCGTGCCAAAGGGATTGTTCATCACTTCTCCTGTGTTTACACTCCTGAGCAGAATTCTGTGGTTGAACGGAAACATCAACACCTGCTTAACGTGGCCAGGGCACTCTTATTTCAGGCACATTTGCCTCTGTCCTTCTGGACTGACTGCGTTCGTACCGCTGCTTATCTTATTAACCGGACACCGTCCCCTGTTTTGATGAATCGGTCACCCTTTGAGGTTTTGCAGGGTCGTGTTCCGGCTTATGATCATTTGCGAGCCTTTGGATGTCTCGCTTATGCCTCCTCTTCTCCAGCAGCCAGACATAAGTTCTCCTCTCGTGCTCGTGCTTCAGTGTTCTTGGGATATCCTCCTGGCTACAAAGGGTATAAACTCCTGGACTTAGATTCTAATTCCATTTTTATTTCTCGACATGTTGTGTTTCACGAGAATATTTTTCCCTTTGCCATTGGTCATGCTCCTTCTTCCTTTTCAGACTCCATCTTTTCTGACCCAATTTTACCACTACCAATTCCCACTCGTGATCCTCCCTCGGATTCTTTAGCCCCTATTCCACTTGTTTCGTCTCCTTCTCCTAATGCAACTTCTACACCCGTTTCTTCTCATTCTGCCTCTTCTCCTCCACTGGCCCCTGTTCTTTCTCGTCCTTCCCGCCTTACAAAACCCCCTGCTTATCTCCAAGATTATCATTGTTATCTACTTCCTTCTTCTTCTTCCCCGTTGTATCCTCTGTCCTCCGTTCTCTCCTATAGCAATCTTTCTCCTTTGTATCGAACCTTTATATTCAACCTTCATCTCACCTCTGAACCTAAGTCCTTCAAGGAGGCTGTATCTTCTGTTGAATGGCGGCGTGCCATGGACACTGAACTCGCAGCACTTGATGGAAACAAGACCTGGTCTGTTGTCTCTCTTCCTCCCGGGAAAAGAGCCGTTGGCTGCAAATGGGTGTATAAAATCAAACGTCAATTCCCGATCTCCTGACCCGAAAACCTAAAATAGCAGGAAGGGATCGATTTCTTGGATACTTTCTCGCCAGTTGCTAAACTCGTCACTGTCAAGTTGCTTCTTGCTTTGGCAGCAACACATCACTGGACCTTGACGCAGATGGATGTCACTAATGCTTTCCTCCATGGCGAGCTTGATGAGGAAATTTACATGGCATTGCCTCCTGGTTACACATCTCTACCTGGCGTCACTTTGCCTGCTAATCCGGTATGTAAACTGCATAAATCGTTGTATGGGCTTCGCCAAGCTTCTCGCCAATGGTATTTCACCTTTGCCAATGTCTTGATTGCTGATGGCTTTTCCCAATCTTCTTCTGATCACGCCTTGTTTGTCAAGAAGATTGGTGATTCCTTTATTGCGTTATTGGTATATGTCGATGACATCGTTATTGCCAGTAACAACGATGTTGCTCTTCAGCAGCTCAAGTCTCTGCTTCATCATAAATTTCGGATCAAGGATCTGGGGAAGCTTCAGTACTTTCTGGGATTGGAGGTAGCTCGTTCCAAGCTTGGGATCTCTGTCAGTCAACGTAAGTACTGTCTTGACTTGATCAGTGACTCAGGGTTTCTGGCTTGCAAGCCTGTTTCCACCCCTCTTGACCCCGGTGTTCGCTTATCCAGAGATTCCGGCGTTCTTCTTCCTGACATTCCTGCATATCGTCGGCTCATTGGTAGGTTATTATACCTGACCATCACCAGGCCTGACATTGCTTATGCTGTTCATAAGCTCAGTCAGTTCCTGTCATGTCCCACTGATATTCATCTTGCGGCTGCACAAAGGGTCGTTCGTTACTTGAAGACTAATCCTGGGCAGGGTATTTTTTACTCTGTTTCTTCCCCTTTGTGCCTCAATGCCTTTGCCGATGCCGATTGGGCCTCTTGCCCGGATTCGCGACGCTCCACATCTGGGTTTTGTGTGTTTCTCGGGGATTCGCTGATTTCTTGGAAGGCTAAGAAGCAGACTACGGTTTCCCGCAGCAGCACCGAGGCCGAATATCGTGCCCTGGCCAACGCTACCTGTGAGCTCATTTGGTTGCATAGTCTTTTGAAGGATTTACACATTACTGTCACTGGGCCTGCGAAACTTTTTTGTGATAATCGGTCTGCCATACACATTGCGACGAATCCTGTTTTTCACGAACGAACAAAGCATATCGAGATCGATTGTCATCTCGTTCGTGATAGACTGCGGGCTGGGTTTCTTCTGCTTATGCACGTCAATGCCGAAAACCAGTTGGCCGACATCTTTACCAAAGCTTTGCAGCCTTCATTGTTCCTGAGTCTGCTTTCTCGGTTGCATATCTCAAGCCTGTTCCTCCCGTCTCCGTCTTGACGAGGGGGTATTACGAGACAATAAATATATTCAAAGGAGAATATATTTATTGTTTAGAATTCTGTTTTATGGTTTTCTGTAACTTCTTCTCTCCCCCTCTCTATTTCTCTCTCCTTTCGTATTGTATATAAAGAATTGTACAGTCAATTGATCAATACAATTTTTCTGGGTAAATTCTCAAATTCTCTGTTTCATAAAAGTTTCCAAAATCTTTAAATTCTTCAGGATAAAGACATTAATCTTTTTTGAAATTTCACTCTTGATGCATTTTCAGTGATTTGAGTTGCCTTCTACGTACACATTCTTACATTAACTGACATAAGAGGTTCTGTTCTGCTCGACATATATGTAACACTGAAACCACACCAATATTCTAGAAGATTATTATCATATTACATAAAATAATAATATGATAATTTTCTTGAATATTCTATTAACCTCTCATGTAAGCTTCTTGATTCTGTCGTTGCAGGCATCAGGGAGACACGAAATCGTGAGGTACATGTTATGGATAAGGTTATATCGGGTACGAAAGGTGATCCAGTTCTTTGAGAGGCTGGAGAAAGATACCCGAGTCAACTACCTCTTCAGTAGAATCATGAAGCTCATGTTCGTCGAAGTGTACTGCACTCACACTGCAGCCTGCATTTTCTATTACTTGGCCACGACCTATCCTCCGGAGAAAGAGGGTTACACCTGGATCGGGAGTTTGAAGATGGGGGATTTCAGTTACGAGAATTTCAGACAGATCGATATATGGAAACGTTATATTACATCTTTATACTTCGCCATTGTCACCATGGCCACTGTCGGTAAGTCACTATAATGGAAGGAAGGTTTAGAGTTTAGGAATTGGGGTTTAGGTGCCTAAAAAGCTCGTCAAGATCGATGATTGTTGCTTTCTTTTCTGCTGCAGGGTATGGAGATATTCACGCGGTGAACGTGAGAGAGATGATATTCATAATGATATACGTTTCGTTTGATATGGTTCTCGGGGCATACTTGATCGGTAACATCACTGCCCTTATCGTTAAAGGATCGAAAACCGAGAAATTCAGAGACAAGATGAATGACCTGTTAAAGTACATGAACCGGAACAAGCTCGGAAGGGAGATTAGAAGTCAGATAACTGGTCATGTCAGATTACAGTATGAGAGTAACTATACTGACACTGCCTTGCTTCAGGACATGCCTGTCTCTATCCGTGCAAAGGTTAGGTTTCGATAACGGCCGAGCTTATATTCATTTACAGTGCTTTTGTATAGTTCTTCTTGGCATGGGTACTCGAATAGGGACCGACATGTACTGGTAGAATGCGTCGTTTCCGCCTTTCGGGGAACCCAAATTCTGGGTTTGAAGTCGGATTTCGTCGTGTCTCGTTGGTCGTCGCAACACGCGGTCACCGAACCCTCGCCGCACTCTGCGGGTATCCAAAGATCAGATCCTGATTCTCACGAGGTTGAGGTCAGATATACTGAGAAGACGAGGCGGTCAGCTATGCTCGAGAAAACTCGGGGATCCGACCCGCGCCCAGACTGCTTTTGCATATTGGCCACTACACCCTCTTTCTTTGTTTTTACAGATCGCAGAGACATTATACATGTCTTACATCGAGAAAGTCCCTCTCTTCAAAGGATGCTCCACAGAGTTTATCAATCAGATAGTCATTAGGCTCCATGAAGAGTTTTTCCTACCCGGAGAAGTAATAACCGAGCAAGGAAACGTCGTGGATCAGTTATATTTCGTCTGTGAAGGCCTACTGGTACATAATCCTCACATATCTTCTCATACTTAGATCTTCCCGTCTCACCTTACATTTCACGGTTTATATATCGCCGTAGGAAGCTGTCGGGACGGAGAGGGGCGGCTCGGAAGATCCCCCAACGCTTCTAGGGCCTCACGACTCGTTCGGAGATATCTCCATAATCTGCAATATCCCTCAGCCTTTCACTATTCGAGTTCGTGACCTCTGTCGCCTCTTACGTATTGATAAACAGTCCTTTACCGACATTGTCGAGATATATTTCCACGACGGGCGCAAAATCTTAGATAACATTTTGGAGGTAATCGAGTTCTCTTCCTCCCAATCTCCTGTACCGATATCTCTTACTCTTACATAAACTACATTTAGGAGTGGACACAGGTCGGGTACTCCGAGGTTTTCGGGTTCCTGAATGTCTCGTGTCTCATGAGATATTACCCGATCTCGGACCCGTTTTTGTCAGATATCTGAAAGTCGGTTTTTTTTCTTTCCCAGCCATAACTAGTACTACATTCACATTTAGTGTTCCGAATGAGATCTGGAAACTTACATCACAGTTAGGATATATTTCTGAAGTAATCTTGCTTATAAGTTCCGATGAGAGCGTAAATTGCAGGGGAAGGACTCGAACGTGAGGATAAAGAAGCTAGAATCTGACATTATGATGCATATCGGTAAACAAGAAGCTGAACTCGCATTGAAGGTTAACAGTGCAGCTTATCAGGGCGATCTTTACCAGCTCAAGAGTTTGATCCGTGCTGGAGCCGACCCGAACAAGACGGATTACGATGGAAGATCTCCTCTGGTAAACCATCTTCGATGTTTTAAACAACGATTCTTGATTTGTAAATTGCAGAACTCATCTTCTTTCAGAATCTTGAAATCTTTTTCTGCCGAAATCGATACGATTCTCTTTCGAAGCTGTAATGTTTTTTTATTATATGCAGCACCTTGCGGCCTCTCGAGGCTACGAGGATATCACGCAGTTTCTTGTTCAAGAAGGCGTAGATATCAATCTCAAAGGTAATATATGTAGTATCAGTTACTGTCATGTAAGAACAGGAAAGATACTATGTTTATGTTTTTTTTTTTCTTTTAACTGTTCTGTAGATAAGTTCGGTAACACGCCTTTGCTAGAGGCCGCGAAGAACGGGCAAGACGAAGTGATTGCTCTGCTTGTAAGAGAAGGAGCGAGTTTCCATCTCGAAGATCCCGGAAATTTTCTATGCACTGTCGTTGCAAAGGGCGATTCCGAGTTTCTCAAGAGACTTCTCTCCAGCGGTATCGACCCGAACGCGAAAGATTATGATCACAGGACGCCGCTCCATGTCGCCGCATCTGAAGGCTTGTACTTGATGGCTAAAATGCTCGTTGAAGCCGGAGCCAATGTCCTTGCAAAAGATCGGTAAATGTCTCATTACACGAGTGGGCGAGTCGCTAATATTTCTCGAAACTTACGAACTCCGTATCTCTCGACAGATGGGGGAATTCCCCGGTTGACGAAGCAAGGATGTGCGGAAACAAGAAACTGATTAAGTTACTCGAAGACGCAAAAACCGCTCCGTCTTTGACCTATCCTTCGAGCTCTCATGAACTACAAGGTACTTTTTAAACCCGAAACTCGAAATCATAACCTAAAAAACCCTCGAAACGTTACAATTCGTTTGGTTTCGGGTGAAACAGCCGAGAGAATTCACAGACGGAAATGCACGGTGTTTCCCTTCCACCCGAGCGAGGCTAAAGGGGGTAGAAGAAGGCACGGAATCGTGGTATGGATCCCGAACGATATCCAGCAACTTATCGCCGTGGCTGCAGAACAGCTCGGACACTCGGATGATTCATTTGTCATAATGTCGGAAGAGGAAGGCGAAATCAAAGACGTCGATATGATCAGCGACGGGCAGAAGCTCTATTTGATTAGTTCTACACATCAAACATGATTACTGGGAATTACAGCAGAAACCCGAAACCATATATTGTCTTTGCCTATTAGTCTCTTACACAGTATATATTTCATGAGCTGTTTTCGTGTTCGATCGAAGTTTTTTAGGAATACAACCTGAATCTGTCATTCTTAAATGAATGTTCAGAACACAACCAAGAACATAGAAGCATATCTATACATATATATATGAACACAGATGGACATGAAACTGATAAACCCTCTTGAGGATTTATCGTAGAAATTTCTGAACTTCCATTATTCCCGATCTCCTGACCCGAAAACCTAAAATAAAAACCCTAAATCCAAACCCAAACCCTAATCGTCTCGGTCCATTCATCCATTTCTAATCACTCGCACACAAGTCTACGTACAAAAATGCCCGTACAATAAAATCGCATGCTTTACCCAACAGTCTCTTACACGGTAACCAACAAGCTTTGATCTCATGCTATTTGGACATCATCATCATCATCAAAACTGAAACAAAAAGACATCGTTGCACACTTAGCTTCAGACAACATGATGGATTAATTAACCGAATCTAACACATTGAAGCTGTCTGAAATGTTTCTGAGCATCCCGGTTTCCAGGATCCGAAGCTTCGATTTCGTCGTCGGAATAATCTGTGATCTCACGTGACGTAAGAAGACGAACGAGAGTGTCCATGACACAGTCAAGAAGAGGAACATACGAGAAGATTGACAGAACCCTCGAAGCAGAACCCATTTGATCTCCTGAAAGATTACAAAAAAAAAAAACTTCGGAAAGAAATGTTTACAATAGCTTTTCTCAATTTCAAGAACCAGAAAGTATTGTGATGATAATGATGATGAAGAATAAGAAGGAAAAGGTGGATTTATAGTGGAGAAAACGTGGCTTGATCTCCAAGAATAAGAGTCTTGGGACAAAAACATAAACTTTTCTCTTCAGTCTCTGATGTAATTTCGTGGAGTATTACTCGGTGACTTTATAGCTGAAAATTCTTCTGACACGTTATCAGTCATCTATGACGCATAAAGGAGGAAATTTTACATGAATTATATCGACGTATAACGCATATCTAACGAGATAATTATTATATATATATATATATATATATATATGTTATATTTTCTAATGATTCGTGATGGAACAAGAACAACGCAAAACGTATTACAATTAAAATAATTAAAGATTTTTTAAAATTGTACGGAGTTAGTAGTTTCTATATTATTAATTTATTGTTGCATGTTTGACTAAAGTCTGGCGGCGAGAAAAAAAAGTAAATTGTACGAATAAAAAAATGAAAACTCGGACATAATTAGTGGTGTTAACGCATGTTTCCACTAGCTTTTTTTATTATGACTGAAATGCCCTCCCTATTTCTCCGAATTACAACTTACGCCACAGCACCTATCTCCTCCCTCTTTGTTCTCTCGATCTGGTGACAATTTTCTTGACAGAATAATTCAAACTCTAACAACACAATGATTTAACCAAATTGAATGTGATATCAAAATATAATATTTTATTTTCTAAAAATTATAGAAATCAAATCTGAATTTAACTAAACTTAATAAAAAATAACTGATTTTTTAGAAAAAATAATATATTTTTATCTATAATAATTAAAATCCAAGAATATATATTATCAAAAGATATAAAATCATATTTCGTCAAGGTATATATAAAAGATTTGAAAAATTTATAATAATATTATATAATATTTAGATTTAATATTATTTTTATATTTTACATATTTATATTAATTAAATAAGATAATTTTTAATTTTATTTTTTTATCTATAAATATTCTAATATTTTATATTGAATAATAAAAAATTCAGCGATTTTTTTATCCATTTTTCTATTATATATATAGTTCTCATTTGTGTGATTTCATATTTTTTTTTTATAACCGAAAACCCCTAACTGCTATCATTCGGACGCGCTGACTAGACAAACTTCCGGCGCGATAGCAGCCTTGGTATATGGATCATATAAATGCAGAAATTACTTTCCTCCCCACCGGTCAGAAATCGAATACTATTCCCCTCTTCTAACTTTTTCTATTATATATATAGTTCTCATTTTGTATGCTTTTCATTGTGTTACCCAACGAGGAAGAAACAATTTAATGCTCTTCATTTGATATGTTTGTGTACAAGAAACTATTTCCCTCTTCTAACTTTTCTTTGTCATAATCGAGTGATCTATTCCTAGATGATATTGGTCATCATACAATTTTTACATTTTTTTTAAAATTCTTTATTGTTTATTACACGATCGAGAGGTATGCACTTGGTTAACATAGCTTTTATATTTCAATGAGTTTTGGATTCAAATTAGTTATTTCGTATTGTTTATATTTTATTATTTTCGAATTTACTATTTATATGGTTTTCAACTTAATTTAATTTTGTTTAAAACTATAATTAATTTGATTTAAAAAAATTATGATAAACAGATTTTTAATTCGATTCTAATATTGAGATATGTTATTTACTTTAATTCCGTTTGTTTGTTTTTTTATTTATCGAACAGAGAATAATCTTATCTCAAACAATCATTTTATATGTCGAACAGAGAAATGATAACCTCAAACCCGAATTCGAACAAATCCGATGAACTCTGTGTAATCGTGAAAATACATCATAACACATGGAATCAAATGCCTACAACTTTCAATACAATATATTACACAATAGTTCTACAGTTTCGATCCAGTGTTACGCACCTCACTGGACGCAGGCTCACGTGAGCCAATCACATCGAGAACCTCTCTTAGTACCATTTCCCTTATCTGACCGTACACGTGTCCATCAAACCCTCGTCTCACAAGATCCTCGCTCAATCTAACGGCGGCTTCAACCGTCTCCACCGCC